TTTTTAAATAATTTTTTTTTTTTTAGATTTCGAATAAAATAATTCCACAATTTAAGTTAAGCAATGCCCAGAACCTGTCCACCTGTTTGCTTGTGGACAAATATTTCACCCGATTCATTGAAGAAAAAAAATTGCTTCTGAAAATGTATTAAATTTCAAACATTTCAAACCAAGAGGGTTTCAAATTCAGATGTCAGATCAAGAAATTTTTTTTTTTAGGCTAGGATTGTTGGGCTTTTGCTAGGGTCGGTCAAGAAAAACACGAAATTTTTTAACAAACATACTTTTTTGATGGTGAGATATAAAATTTTGCAGACTTAGTGTTGACATAAGAGAAAATATCAACTCAAATGTGAAAACAAACAACACTGTAAAAGTAAAGAAAGAGGCGACTTACTTTTTCCCATACTTGATATGTATGATGGTGAATACGAGGCCGACCACCAGACAGATACAGCCCACCACGATGTACGCGATACCCAGGAAGCTGTTCTTCCCTCCGAGCCACGATACGGTACTCAGGATCATTCGCTTGGTGCCGTCAAACGCCGTCACAGGGTATTCTGGTGGATGCTGGTTACGGAAACTTCAACTTGATTTGATTTATTGAAATTGACAGACAATAATCATTTTCACTTGAGTTAAGTGAGGAAAGTGCCTTTCCCAAGGCCACAAGATCGGTGGCATGTCAGGACTCGAACCCGGGACCTCTTGGTTCCAAGTCGCCACACAACCACACTTTGTGATAAGATTGAGTTATAGGTACCTTAGCATTAGTGCCCCAGGGCTCTAGCCAGCTTCAATTTTTTTCTGCCAAAAAATTGCTAATTGGGGGAGAGTGCTCGCAATCTAGGGGGGAAATTTGGGATTTTCAACCCTTCAAAAATGCAATTTCCCACATTTTGAGGCAAATCATGGGTTTTAGAGTGGTTGTTGATGGTTGTTTTTATAATAAATTTTTGCCTAAGATTTTTTGTCAATTTTGTCCGTCAAGGTTGACGGATTGGTTTAGAAACTTTTCCATCACACACCACATCAAGCTCCTGCAATGAAAAGAAAAACGGGTGCTGGCTAGAGCCCTGGTGTGCCTGTACAATGTAGCTTCTGAAAACAGTTACAGTCAAGTACATGTACATGTATGTCGGCAGAACGTACTGCACCTGCGTGGAATGTGGATTTTTCATGCTTTTTATGGGATGTTTGAATTTTGCCAGTTGTAGACAATAGGCATGCTTTATCCAATTTCAGGCCACACCGTCTTAATTTTATGGATGACATCCACCTGCGCATTGATTTTCGCCTGTCTTCAAAAAAAAAGATCATGTCCTCCGAGGTTCTAGCCTGACTCTAGGCCTGGGTAGTCCATGCTAGCGACAATACGGAGCCGGTGGTAACTCTGGAGGACAGCACACAGGCTATTGAAGCTCCACGACTCAAGAACTCAGTACATACGTACAGTGCCGACTCATAAATTCCGCAAAAAGCCGGCATGTGCAGGCTTGTCGTATACGCCGCTATGTACTGCCGCAATTTCACAATACCAGCTTTGTTTTCCTGTGGTTTAGTAGCATTTTTATTTTTGGCCGGAATTTTTTATTTTCATTTATTTCATTTGTTTCGAAACCTTTGCCCGCGTGCACTAGTTTGGGGGTCTTCAGAGGATGTCATCCATAAAATTAAGTCGGTGTGGCCTTACCAAGAAAACATCAGAACTTTGGGAGAACATCTGTACACAAGACTGGCAATGAAAACATACATTGCCATGGCGACGGTGGTTCATGTTAAGGTTATTGTTTGCATGGCACTGCCATCGTTTCATGATTTTGAGCAAGACAGATTCAGTGCACTCCTCCCCCGAGTGTATAGTGAACGAGCCCCGGGGTCACAGAAAGTAGGGCCATCCGTGGCAGACAGGTCTTCTGGGTCTTCCTAAGGGTTTCCAGGAATGTGGGCATAGATGTGGGTCAGGGAAATGCCTGTGGACATTCCATTCCTGTGGACAAAATGCCTGTACAATTCCTAGAATTCTTGCAAACTGCACACAATACTGTACCATTAGGCTCCTCCCTGAGACATCGCCAAAAAGGATACTGTAGTCCACAGTCAGGGTGTAGTTCCCAGCAGGGAGACCGTCCTGGAAGGTGTCGGTGTGGTTCACGCGCCGGTACAGCTTACGGAATGTGGGGAACGCCGCGGTCCGCATCCAGACGATGAGATCTTCGTTCAGGTACCCGTTGTTGTCGGGGTTGTTGGAGTCCAGCTCGTACACGGGGCTCTGCCAGTACTTGGGCTTCAAAGTGCCTGAAGAAGAGAGGGTTAAAATATTGAATGCAAACCAGGCTCTTTTTCTGTTAGCCCAGGTTCATCAGGGTTCTAGCTACATGTAGGATTTAATTTTAGCGTAGTGGCACTGGCCGCTATGGGGGGATGAGGTGGAGCTTTTAAAAATTTGAGCTAAAAAAGAGGCCGAGGGATACCCAAAGGGAAAAAATGTTATTTCTAAGGTATGTACAATGTATCCTTGATTTGTAATTTTTCACATTTGATCTGGCATTCTTGAACAAAGAAATACAGTCACAATGTATTGAAAATTAGCGTAGGGGGGAAATTCAGCGTAGGGGGTAAAAATTATTGCGTAGGGGGCCCCTACGCTACTTCGCGCTAGCTAGAACCCTGTTCATGATAGGACCTGAGGGGAGTGCTCTCAATCTAGAGAGATCTGGGGGCAAATTTTGTATTTTCAAGCCTTTAAAAACGCAATTCCCCACATTTTGAGAGTCAAATCATGGAGTTAAGTGTGGTTGTTGGTGGCCCTTTGGATTTTGAAGGGCAAATTTTTCTGGCTGACTACACTTCTAAGGTTAATGACATATCTTTCAATATCTTTACACACTGATTTTTTTTCCCTCAAAGATGATGGATTGGACAAAATTTTTGTCCATTATGAGAGGCAAAATTCCATCAAAATTAAGGCCACACTAAATTTGTTGTTTCTTGAATTTTTTCAGAAAAAATGTAAAGCAACAGGGCGAAAAAAAAAACAGGCTAAGGCACCCCATGATACAATGTAGCTGGAAATGTTACAATATGAGCCATGAAGTGAACATACCATCCTGGTTAATAATTAAAACAATAGATTTTTGAACTTTTAATGAAACAAAATTGCATTGTTACATTGAAAAACTTAAGAACTAGGAAGAAAAGGACTTTCTTCAACCGTTGGGGCCAAAATATGTCTTTCATTGAGCATTTTGCAGTTAATTTAGAACCCTCCCAATTTTTTATTTTTTTGCAAATCAGAAAAAAATGGACAGGGCGATCCGAGAAGCAACAAATTAAGTTGTTGTGGCCTAATGCTGGAAAGATGGATGCTGGCTAGAACACTGGTTTTTGTAGCACGTCGGCAGAACGTACTGCACCCGCGCGTAATCCGTAATGTATTGTACATAGCACTTCGGTAGAAGGTCATATTCACATATATAAGGTTAACATCTCGTCTGTAGTTTCCAAATGTTATGTCGGAAAAGATATCCTCTGCAACAGGCAATTCTAGTGCAACGTTGACCAAAAATCCACCAAAAAGCGTAAAAATATAGGGTTCTGCGCAGACGCAGTACGTTCTGCCGACGTGCTCGTTCCTGTACCTGAGAAGGCATCTTGCAGGCTGCTCCCTGTCGGGTTGCGGAACTTGACGTTCTTGTCCGTCCACCAGGCGATGCCGGTGTTGATCAGTCCCACGGGAGTGCTGCCGTAGGACAGGGTCAGCGTATCTAGGGGGCAAAGGTGAAAGGTCATGAGGATGATCAACAATATGGCAGCGCAACATTAGATATATAGTTACTGTATATGAAATAAAATACTTATTGTTTACATGTAAAACCTAAGGCATCTACATTGTGTATATTCAATCAGAGACAAATACTGTACAGATTAAATTATACATATGATCACAGATATGTCAAAAATATACATAAAGATATGTCAAACAAGGTTAAACATACAGATACAATGTAGATACAGTATGTCAAAAAATGGCTAAGGTTGGTAGTTTTTTTCTAGAGAAACAGGACAGACATTCAACAATTTTTTCCTAGCCCTCAAAACTGTTACTTAAGTAATTTGGAACATTTTAAAACCCCTTATCCATATTATTGGCAGTACTTCTTTTAAATATTCAAAATCCAGCTGCTTGGGTCACAGTTTTCTTACGTAAGCATACATATAGAAACATTGACTATATCTAGTCTGTGCTATCAAAGCCTGGGAGGAGTCAAACCTGCTAAGGTGACCACCACCTCAAGCAGGCCACCTGTCCATGGTGACCGCTTTTTCTCAGTCTCAAAAATTTTCCCCATTGACACAAGCATTAAGCAACCTGTCCAAGATGACCACCTGGCCAACGCGACCACCCTGATTTGGGTCTGCTCAAGGCCTGATACCTGCCCATGGTGACCACATCATTTTCAATCATGTTGATTATTGATGATAACTAATGAGAAATCATGGAGAAACCAGCCAGTTTGCCTCGACTGCTGAATGATGTTTCTGTTCGACGTAAATTGTTCCATGTGATACCTTCCCACATGCATTCACCACAGAACTGAAGATGCTTACAGCATTTGACATTAGAAAATCTTGACTTTGAAACCATTTATGTCTCAGTCATGTTGTGAGGCGACCCTCTTCAAGGAGACCACCTGTGCAGGTTTGACTGTATTTGAAGATGTCCTTAACTTGTGGCTGACCACTCTAGAGGTTTTTGCCCTTCTGTACTAGAAATCTGTCACCCTGTCTGTGGTACATTATCAGGGCCCTCGCTAATGACGCCATCAATCGGTCTCACCACGTCTGATGTGTGCGCTGATGAAACGGCGACACAGTCAGACTGATTAACTGCTTAATCATCCTGAAGGACATTCTGTTAACGCTAACAAGTTTGGCCAAATCTAACTGCAGGGCTCGAAATACTGTCATTCACTAACTAGTCTTTATGTTTGCGGGAGCAAAAGTTCGGGGCCTGAAAAAAATGCAGGTGTTCACGAAACTATTTCACCATGTTTGTGGTGGCGGTGCAGAAAAAAGAAAGTCGCCAAATTATTTGTTATTCATTATTTGTGGAGGTAATGATAAATTTGCAGCACAGAAGAGACCACGAAAAACCATGGTCATAAGTTACAGTACTGCGATAAAATCGTGAATTACAGTACTTTCCTTTACCTTTTCAATACCTGCACTGGTGAAGATAAAACCTAGGAAAAAAATGTTTTGCTTCTGGTTTCCCGACTGACCGGCATTTTTCAATGACTGCTGGTAAGGCTATAAAATTTCCCATCTGACATCTGAATTTCAAACCCTCTGAATTCTGGAAGGTCATTATTTTAATGCATTTTCAGAAGTAATTTTTTCTTCATTAAATCGGGTAAGTATCAATATCTGCACAGCTCCAATTTTTCTGCACTTGTGCAGATGAGATTTCAAGCCCTGAATTTTATTTCTCTGCAAGAAGATCATTTAAAAAATGAACGTGTTTTGGATTGTTCTGCATGAAATCTTTTATCACTGGGACAAAACATTTATGATCTATAATTACTGAGTATTAGCACCGCTGCATTAAATGAAAGAACATAAGGACATACATATATACGTGACATTTGTGCGTCATGCTATACAATGTAGTTTACGCAAACAAACAACAATACATACAATTATATACAATATCAATGATGTATACACAATGAGTGCACATGTTAGCACACATGACTGCTTTTCTCATTCATAACTTCCTTATGAATAAGAATAAAATAAGAAAATAAGAAACAATATTAATAAAAAAAATACATGTAGAAAATTTTTAAAAATAAGAAAAAAATTTAAAAAATAATGAAAAAAATTTAAAAAATAAAAAAAAATTTCTAAAAATAAAAAATAATTAAAAAATTTTCTAAAAAAAGAGAGAAAAAAGTCCTTACCACTAGTGATGCATATCTAAACCCAATTTTAGGTTCAGGTCCAGATTCAAGTCCAGAGGTTTAGGCTCAGTTTCGGACTTGTAAGTCCGGACCTAAACCCATGGCATATACAAAATTGCATGTTGGCAACCCTGCAATGTTGTCTGGGTGAAACTTTGGCCACATAACATGGAGGCGGGTACTTGACGATGCCCGATGGCAATGTTTTCTTCATTTTGCAGCAAAGATTTTACAATCTACGGAAGGTTTTAGGTGGTTTGGAAAGAAAAGGGGTATGTGAAATGGTCTTTTATGGTAATAAGTCCGGACTCGGTTCTTGACTTTTAGGTTTTTTTTTACTTGAACCTAAACATTCTTACAAGTCCGGATCCAAGTCCAGTAAACCGGTATGCATCACTACTTACCACTGAAGAGACTGTTAGCGATGGCCCCACATGGTGCATACGGCATGAAGGTACCGTTGATGGTTTCCCCATCATATGGCTTACAGTCAGTGTTCAGACTCGACTTGGTTTGCTGTAACAAAAAATAAAAACATATCACATGTTAAGGCCACACCCACTTAATTTTATGGATGATTGATTTTCGCCTGTTCTCAAAAAAAAAAAGATCACGTCCTCTGAGGCTCTGGTCTGGCTCTAGGCACTCCAGGTACATGTACATGTACAGTCTCATGTATTAACGACAATATGGAGTTGGTACAGTTGTAACTCTGGAGGATGGCACTCAGGATTACTCTCCAAGCAGAGGTTTGGGTTTTTGGGGTATTTTTAGCGTGTTTTTAGGCTTTTTTATCGGGGTTTCTCTTTTGCACTGAATTTTTTTCCCCACCAAACCCAACCTCTGCAGGCAGTCGAAAACTTCAATGGGCTATAAACCTAATCATTTCAACACATTTCAGTCGTTCTGCAAGGAGGTGTGAACCAGACGCATGAATAGGCACAGTCAGCAGGAGGCGTGTGGCCCAATGAATGCCTTTATGACTGCCTAGAAGTGTGATAATCCACCACAATAAAATGGATATCCCTAATGACAGTTTGATGGTTCCCGGGGAGGGGCACTATCGCCTGTTTTGAATAGGTTTGCCCCTCCCCGAGGTGAGTGCCTGCAGAGGTTGGGTTTGGTGGGGAAGAAAAATTCAGTGCAAAAGAGAAACCCCGATAAAAAAGCCTAAAAACACGCTAAAAATACCCCCAAAACCCAAACCTCTGCTTGGAGAGTAACTCAGGCTACTGAAGCTCCACGACTCAAGAACTCAGTACATACATGTACGTACAGTGCCGAGTCATAAATTCCGCAAAAAGCCAGCATGTACCGACTTGTCATAAGTAGCATTTTTATTTTTGGCCGGAATATTTTTTATTCGCCTGCGTGCACTAGTTTGGTGGTCATATAATTTGGTAATATTAAAAACTGGTACAGTCACAATTGCCTTACATAGCACGTCGGCAGAACGTACTGCACCTGTGCGAAACCCGTAATGTATTGTACATAGCACTTCGGCAAAACGTCTCATATAAGGTTGTATTCGTGCATATAAGGAAAACATCTCGTCTGCAGTTTCCAAATGTTATGTCGGAAAAGATATCCTCTGCAACAGGCAAAATTCTAATGCAACGTTGACCAAAAATCCATCGAAATTCGTGAAAATACAGGGTTCTGCGCAGGCGCAGTACGTTCTGCCAACGTGCTGCCTTACATAACAGTAATTAATCTCTGTACATCAAATTCTATTTGCTGGACTACAATTCATCTGGTTAAGGATATCATTGGCACTGACAAAATGGACTTTTGAAAGCTCCAAAACTGTACGATTGATATTAATATGCATTTTATTTTATTTTATACAAATGTAGTGATGCATACCTAAACTCAATTTTAGGTTCAGGTCCGGATTCAAGTCCAGAGGTTTAGGTTCAGTTCCGGACTTGTAAGTCCGGACCTAAACCCATGGCATATACGAAATTGCATGTTGGCAACCTTGCAATGTTGTCTGGGGGAAACTTCGGCAACATAACATGTAGGCCGGTACTTGACGATGCCCGATGGCAATGTTTTCTTTGTTTTGCAGCAAAGATTTTACAATGTACGGAAGGTTTTAGGTGGTTTGGAAAGAAAAAGGGTAATGTGAAATGGTCTTTTATGGTAATAAGTCCGGACTCGGTTCTTGACTTTTAGGTTTTTTTGGACTTGAACCTAAACATTCTTACAAGTCCGGATCCAAGTCCAGTGAACCGGTATGCATCTCTATACAAATGTATGGTGCACCCAAAATTTATCTGTGCATCCAATTCTGTAGGTTGAATACATTCCCAATAATGAGGTTCGAGCCCTGTGCTTTTATTGTGTGGGCTGGCTACTCTCTCTTGCAGCCAAGGGCTGTGAGGAGCTTAATTGTGGGGCTTAATCGCAAGGGTCTGGAGCAGCTGCCATTCAGCGCTAACTCAGGTGACCTCAATAAGACCCCAGGTGCGACAATATAGGACTGTAAGGTTTGTACCAATCACACCGGGAAGGTCCCCTACTCTTTTTTATGTATGTATAAAGTATTTTTGAAGTGTGGTGGGTTCTTTAACGTGGGGTGTGGCTCTCCCCAAACACGGGACCTCCATTTAACGTCATATCGGAGGGATGTCCCTTACTGAGGCTAGGTACTCATTTCCACCTGAATGAAGCGAGTTTACGTATGTCAAGATGTATAGTTGTATACATGCAGCATACTTTTAATAAAATCATTCATGATTCTTGTACTACTTTTCTTTAGAAATTAAACATAATTAGTTTTTGTTGACATAACACTTTTTTTTAAATGGTGCACCCAAAATTTTGGGTGCACCAGTGCATGCGCACCTATGCCCAAAAATGAATTTTGAGCCCTGCCACAATTTGGCTCAGATCTAGTACTAGTCTTAAAGAGTGGCAACAGCATTTTGCAAGTTTGAATGAGAACAAGCCTACAGTTACTGTACCTTCATCCCCAAGAGTTGGTCATCATCGCGTGACTTGACGTATCTGCGGTGGTTCTGGAAGAAGTTGGTGAGTCCGTAGTACATGTAGACACTGCCGGTGATGTCGGTACTGATGGTGAAGTCCACCTGACACACGCACGTCCCCGGGCTGCTCACGTTCTGTACCACCTGCGCACACGTCTGGTTAGCACCTGACGCCTTACAGTTGGTGTAATCCACCTACAGGTGAAACAGTCAAACAGGTTGGTTAGGCCACACCAATTTAATTTCTTGGTTAACGGATTTTTCTACAAAAATAATGGAGCGGGCGGGTGAAAAAAAAGAAATAAAAACAGGCCTAGGCATCCTATTAATTATGGCCCAAAATGGTACGATAGGAGCCATGAAGTCAACACACCACACTGGTTCAAAATTTAAACAATGAATTTTTTACTTTTAATGATACCACTGCATTGAAAGATGGAATAACTGTAACAACTAGGATGAAAAGGACTGTTTTCAACTTTTCAGGGCAAAATAAGAGCATTTTGCAGTTGATTCTGAATTTTTTTTTTTTTAATTTGCAAATCAGAAAAAAATGAAGCGGCTGAATCCGTTAACCAAGAAATTAAATTGGTGTGGCCTAACTTAATAATTAACAGGGCTCAAAATTAACAGTGTCCCGATGGCCACTGACCACTAAAATTTAGGCTGGGACAACTAAAAAGACACTTTGGGACATTTTTGGGACAATAGAACAATAATCAACATCAGAATGTCAGCCCTTCTTTTGTTGATTAGGCACGTGTCTCGGCTTTTGGCTCCAGAAAAGCCCCCAAATTTGTCTACTCTGCAAGTATAATGTGCCTGGGAGTCAGAACATAGCAAAAAAACAAGTCATACATACTTCCCGAAAAACTGGTTAGGACAGTACATACTCACTTTGGGACAATCAAAATTCATTTTCGGGACAATGCTGGGACAATTGGAAAAAAAGTTAATTTCGAGGCTAAACTACGATGCTAATAAACTTTATTCCAACACAAGAGTACACACGGATCAATTTCAATGACCACTGTCGCCTTCATCAGGATAAGAAATTATCCTTCCGAACATAAACCTGCGAGAGTTACAGACACTTATTCACGTAAGACTTCACAGAAATGTGATGTAAGCATTGAATTTACAAAATTAAAAATGTATATCACCTACAGTCTCTGTTTAGCAATGGCTGGGGTGCCCTGATATACGTGTATGTGACCTCTCAGAAAGTACTCCTGTTCAGTGTCAAAGATTTCTTTAGTATATATGTCAAATGGAGAAACAATTCAGGCTGGCTCAGACCACTGTCAGAAATCCTTTCTTTCCATTATTTCTTCATACCAGGGAGGTGGTAACAGTCAATGCAGAAAAACAAAATTGTACTGAAGATACATTGTACACCTACATGTATATATAAACCCAGTACATAAATTGGTGTAGGTTAGGCAGGTAAGACATCAGAAATACCTGCATAGCTCAAATTTTACCTGCACTAATCTGCATATACACTATATTATAATATTTATATAGGTTGTTTTTTTGAGCCCTGATAAATAAAATAGCATGAGGCAAATGCAGATAGGTATGTACATAGCAATTGCAAATTGCTAAGGTTATAAAAAAATAACATTATTATTGAGAAATTACCAGTGTCATAAACAGCCATTCTGTACCGGTAATGCACTGAAAATCCGGTTACAACTTACTAATTTACGTAAAAGCTTTCTATTCCTTGAACTTACTGTAGCTAAATTTGGGCATTTTGTACTCTAGAATAGATGTTAAAAGTTGCAATGTTGAAATGTAGCTTATCGTAAAACAATTTCCCTAGTTGATATTTTGCCCAAAAATATAATTTCTGGTTGTAAAGTATTAACTATTTAGCATATACATGTATACCAAGGGAAAATTTCAGTTCTAAATGTCTCGACAAGATACTCGGTGAACAAGACTATTCTGCTTCTGAATTATGCAGTCCATAATGTACTTAACATAAAATGCCTAAATAGAAAAAGGTATTTAAAACAGGCATATCTGAAATTTGCCATATCTTGTTATACTATAGTGAAAAATATATGCCAAATCATCACTAGATCTTGATCCATTTTTCCATGTAATCTAACCACTTGCCAGAATTGGAAAAATCTTAAGATCACTATAAGATCATATTCCCTTAAACATGTTCAAATCAGCATTTTTTGGGCTAAGCAACCAACAAACCAAAGAAAACCAGTGAAAACATAACCTTCTCGCAATAGACAGATGTGCAAAACAACTACATATGGAAAACATGTACATCTTACCAACACTTCTTGTACCCCGTTAGAAGTCACAAGCATGAGTGCGCCGAGAGGAATAAACGTTATCCCCAGGACAAAGAAAAGCGGCAGAACGCATTCTGCGCCGAACATGTCCGGGGAAGACGCAGGCAAGTTCTGCGCCCTAAAAGCATCCAGCATCTTTCTACAGATCATTCCAAACGCGGCTTGGACTACTTCTAGACGTCCTTTTTTTTTACAACATCTTCTTCTACCTCCTGAGTTCTAAATCCGGCTCAACACGTATGCTCTGACGTACGTCTTAACCCGACACGCACGCGAGTAAAGATCAGTTGACGGAGAAACTATCTGCTAAATAAAACAACCGACCTAATTTTCGGCACGCCCCCGGCACAACAAGATTGGTTCTCGACAGAACACAAGCTGCTACTTGAATAGTAATGAACATCACCTAATCAGGGGATCCGTCTAAAGCGGCGCTGTTCTGCCGGCCAATCTTCCAAAGTGCTCTCCGCAAAACCCCTGGAGGCGGAATATTAATTTTTCCGCTTTGACCAGACTTGAGTCAATCTAGCTTCGCGCTGGAAATCAATTGAAAGGCTTGTTACCGTTTCCGCGCAAGAAACATCTGAATGTGTCGCCGGCAATTGTCATTAGTGGTAGACCCAGCTACCAAACCATGATTTAATATTCATGGCACAATGTCCCTCTAAATCACTAATTGCACACATAATGCATTTATTGCCAAAGTCCGTATGCACCAGAGTGCTAAATACATACATTCAGCCTATGGCCTTAATAAGGGAGAAACATCAATGGTCTTATAGCTACAAGTGTTATGATTTTGGATTTGTATATTATAATTCTAGCAGTAACATTACAGCTTGCAACATGCAATTTTGTATATGCCTTTGGCTTGGGTTTAGCTTCAGACTTATAAGTATGTATTCGCAGAAAGTATTTCTGAATTGCAGATCTAGAATAAAAATGTGACATTCTGCAATATTGAGGAGCACTGATAAAAGCTATTTCTACCACTGTTTTAGTGTTTATGGATGACTGCATGAAAATTGATCAAAGGCTAGAATACCAGTCCTGTACTACCTTAGGCCACAGCAAGTAAATTTTATGGATGACATCCTCCTCAAACTCCAAATCTAATGCGGGCGGGTGAAAAAAAACAAGGGGGGCTGAAAAAAACAAGGTTCCTACAATTTAAAATTTTGACTCAATCATTGTACAAATGGTTTTGATTCAGATTAGAACATCACATATACACAGCCAGCATCACATATCACTGCATCAAAGTAAATTAAACATTAAATCAGAGCCTTTTCTTGTCTCCTCTCTTCATACATGTAGTTATCTGCCATTCACCAATTTTCGGCATGTTGACCACTGTCAGAAGGCAACAAAATTTCATGTTTTTTTCTCTCCAAAATCAGGCAAAAATTAATGCGCGCGCTGATGTCATCCATAAAAATTACTTGCTGTGGCCTTAGTAGACCTGGCCTAATTCTGGTGTTAATCCCTATAGCTAGGCAAGATATCCTGTCCACAACAAAATGCCGCAGTAAAGCAAAGCCTCTTTCCATACACACAGGAAATGAGAGAATTATTCTTTTCTTAGTTGTTATTAAGAGAAATAAAACAGACAAATCGTACATTGTGTTTTCATGACTTGCAAACCTATAAAAATACTTTTGTATTATCATTTTGTATTTGTGGTAGCAAAATTTCGCGGTCTGAGAAAAATAGACCCATGTTCTCGGTGGTGGCAGGTGCAGAAGAAAGAAAGTCGGCAAACTGTTTGTTCCTGGTAAATGAATTTGCGTAGCCTGGTTACTAAACCTATTATGGAGGGCCTGCAAGGGGGGGGGGGTCCCGACAACGCTCTACGCTGAATTCGGAAACCTCACGATTACGCTTTACGATAAATTCCAAGTGGCTACAACTCATCACGTAGAATTAAAACGCCGAATAAGCTCTACGCAACAATATTAGAGCGGTCGGTCTACGCTCTACGTAGAATTAAAATGGCCGATTACGCTCTATGGAAAAGGGCTTGCGGGCCCCCATTATACTCCCGAGTCCTACATCCTCTCCACAAATAGCAGAGAGGATGTAGGACTCAGGAGGTATAATAGGTTTGGTTACCAGGCTAAAATTCGCAGTACAGAAGTAAAAATTGTTAACACAAAAGTACCGTGAAAAAAATCGTGATTAACAGTATTCTGAAAATATCGGACAATGTTCCCTTAAGTTAGAACCGAGAAAAAAAATTAAATTTTTAACTCTGGCTTTGATTGCAAAGTTGTGCGTAGCATTTTGTGCAAGAAAGAAAGATACATTGTCTTTCCATCCCCCAGTACAGTATAAAACTACAAAGGGCACATCTGGCTTTGCTTCGACTACCCTGATGATTACGATTTCAAAGCACAAACTCAACTTTGTATCACAGATGACAAAAGCAAGACTGCCTTTTATGTCTTCTTTGATATTTTAGCTTGGCGCATTGACGTCACAAATTTGCAGTCACAAATAGAATGGTTAAGAGTCTGCCAGTCGATTGCAAGGATTTGGCTTGCAGGGCTCGAAATACTGGGTGCGTATGCACCTTATTATAGACAAGTAAAATTGGAGCTGTGCAGGTATTTCTGATGTCTACCTGCACCTAACCTGCACTGGTCCATGTACTGGGTATATGCAGGTTAGTACAGGTAAAATTGGAGCTGTGCAGGTATTTCTGATGTCTACCTGCTCCTAACCTGCACTGGTCCATGTACTGGGTATATGCAGGTTACTGCAGGTAAAATTGGAGCTGTGCAGATAATTTCTGATGTCTACCTGCACCTAACATGCACTGGTCCATGTACTGGGTATATGCAGGTTAGTACAGGTAAAATTGGAGCTGTGCAGGTATTTCTGATGTCTACCTGCACCTAACCTGCACTGGTCCATGTACTGGGTATATGTATATGCAGGTTAGTAGCAGGTAAAATTGGAGCTGTGCAGGTATTTCTGATGTCTACCTGCACCTAACCCGCACTGGACCATGTACTGGGTATATGCAGGTTAGTGCAGGTAAAATTGGAGCTGTGCAGATAATTTCTGATGTCTACTTGCACCTAACCTGCACTGGTCCAAAAAAGCAGGTCCATGTAGTTTAATATCCGTGTTGTTTTTTAATTGCTGAATTGACTGTTACCACCTACATAAGAAAGATATAATTTATAAAGGTATAATGGCAATGGTGTCTGAACAGTTTTTAGGATGACACATGTGACGCTGAAGAACCAAAATTCTGAGTGGTGCTGGTTAGAATTTGTCTGGTGCAGGTAATTTTCAATACGCAATCTAGGGCAAGATGTCTCATACCGGTATTATCTTTTTTTATAAGCAAGGTTTTTTCTTCAGATTTTCAGTAAAAATTTTGCAAGGCAACCAACATAAATACTAGTAATGTCAATCATTCACCAACATAAATACTAGCAATGTCAATCATTATTATCACCAAAGAGTCAGTTGATATTTTTTCTCTCACAACAATTGGGCATAGCTATGTTATATATTAGTATACAATGTACATGCATCCAATTGATGCAGTTCACAATAGTGTCACTAGGAGGCATTACTGAACATGGCATGTACAGTGGCTCATTCCCTGCTTCATACATATGAAATTCATAACCATGATACCCAGGTCCCTACAATATTCACGAGAACATGATCATATTTATCATAAGGGAGCAACATTGCCTCATAACATGCTAATAGTGATGGAAAAATGTCCATTTGGATGAAAGATACAGTACTCAGTAGACAATAAACTGATTATGTTGTAAGTTGTAACACTAACAGTGTGGCTCAAGTGCTACCAACTGACCTGTGTAACAGGTTGGGACCAGACCTTTAAGCCTAGGAGTTTAGTGTGTTGGGTTCTCAAGCTGGAGGCCCAGGTTCTATTCCCGGGGGCCAGGAGATTTCATGTTACTTGCGATTGCCCCAAGTTGTTCCAATGTTTTACACAAAGACTGTTTTAGGTTTTCGGAGGTTTCCTCTTTCCCTCGAACGATAAGTAAGTGGAATAAACTGCCGAGCTCTACGGGCGACGACAGTGGAGGCCTTTAAATTCTGTTAAGTTAATCTGTTTTACTGCACTGCACCACCACCACCACCAGCCACACTAAGGCAGGCACCCCCCTGGACAAGATGTCCAACATTAGATACTGTGCAGTACCTTTTAAAATAAAAACCGTGCGTACAATTTGCGTAAAAAGTAGGCTTCATCGCGTGTTAACTGCCAAGTCATCATGGTATTGAAAACTGTTTCATTGTGCCGTTCTTCTACAAACAGCCAGCAGAATTATGAAGATACCCGTTCTCAATACACGAGCTGCAAACTAAAGTAATGGCAGTCCTATGAAAATTCTCTTTGTAATGTATAAGTGCTTTATATCGACGAACAATGGTTGTGAAGTACGTGTTTTCGCACATCTTGTGCCACCGGATCAGTGGTAATTGGCTACTCTACAGGTGAAAGAACCGGGTCCGTGGGCCTTGATAAATTATTCATAAATCGGTCGCCGCTAGAAATTTACTGGATGGCATTCAGTGACGAGCTCCCCCTCAGTTATACTGTTAATCGTGATTTTTTTTTTTTTTTTTTGTATTTTTGTACTAGCGGTAACATCCGTGTCCATAATATCACCAGGGTCCTTAATATCACCACCTTGAGAAAAAGTGTGCTAAAGATATTTTTACTGCAACATACCCTAGGTATGTACATTTGAGGTGTGCAGGAGTGCATACCAAAAGTATGTTGCAGTAAAAATATCTTTAACTAAAAGCACACTATTTCTCAAGGTGGTGATATTATGGACACAGATGTTAGTCACTTCTGTCCTGAACCGCAAACTTATCATTACTGTGAACAAATAATTTGCCAACTTTCTTTTTGTTCCACCTGCCGCTACCGGTTGATACCAGAGTTATCAACCAAGGATTGAGGTGTTCAAGAATTCATTCTTTCCTAGAACTATCGCAGAGTGGAACTCACTGTCACCAAGTACAGTAGGGGCACTGTCAATAGATAGCTTTAAACAATGTCTAGAGCTAGAAGTTCAAGGGTTAGGTGTAACAAGTCGATCGGTGTGATATAGCCAGCTGCCGCCGCGCCGCGTGCCTGCGAAGCTGGTGTGTTACGCCGAAAGGCGGTTATACCGGCTATACAGATACAGACAGATACAGATACCGTGAAGGTATAGTTCTGCAAATATGTCCATTTTTCTCAGACCACGGCCAGCGTCACACAAACTTTTGCTACCATGAACATAAAGTGATTAATACTACTAAGCCCAGTAGGGGTTGTTGTAGGGTAACCACAAATTAAAGAGGAAAGGTGTAGTGAACTGGACAAATTCAATGCTTTCACTCATTCCTTTCCTTAATTTTAGCATTTTTGTGGAAAAACAAATTCCTTTGCATTCTTAAAACACTATGACAGCCCAAAGATATGATACAGCACCTGTAAAATAATTACTGAAAACACACCCATCTTTGTCTTGGATACTCAAGATAGCCCCACCCACCAATACCTAAGGAATTAGGTTTAAAACATGCCATCAGAAAGAAACTGTAAGCAGAAATACGACTAGATCGTTACCATGATACCCCACCTGGAATAATACGGTAGCATGGGTTGTCTTAATGTCATAAAATTGACGAAATTTTGGTATGATTTTTGCTACACCTGCTTGACTACTTACCACTATCTCCTGGACGTTGTTAGACGTGACCAACAAACCGATGCCGATGGGGATAAAGAGCAGCCCCACGCCGTAGAAGGCGGGCAGGACGGTCCCTGCGGTCATGATGGGCTGCCATGCCGGCAGCCGTTGTTGTTTGAAGGCGGTATCGCGAGGTTTCTTGTCCACCGATCTGGTGCCTTCGGCAGACATTTTGCTTCCCTTTCCCTGGAATGAAATTACACTAAGAGGAAAACTAGCAGCTGATTTGGCTATCATACCCAAATGAGATAAACATGTTGCGTTTATCATATCATTTGGGACAAAACATAAAAATATCATATCTATAATTATGCAAATCGTTTAACTGACAAAATGTTTCTCAGAGACAGTAGCAGTTACGTTTATTGTTGCGAATTCTCTGCAAAATGTTAAAAATGCGAATACCGGACCTTTTTTTCAAAGCTTTGCATAATGTGATCAACGCGCACCTCTTGTGCGCAGCGAATGGTCAGGTTTTGTGAAAAAAAGTTGGGGCACGTTTTTCCATCTTTTTAGTCGAAATTTTCCTTTTTCTTGAAAGAATCTAAATATTTCATTTGCTGTAAGGGTAGGGGATCTTTTCTAGAGATGAGTCAGTTCAAGCTGATCGCCCCGAAGCCGAACCCAGGGGCTCTGCCGGCCCAGGAAGGGGAGGAGAACAATAGAAAGCGGCCGGCCAGCTCGAGTCCTCCGCCGAAGGTGAAGATGGAGGGCCCGCCGCAGCCCTTACCTGGAAACTCGGCCACCTTAGGAGCTGCAGGGACGAACGGGATCCTCCTGAACCCTGGAGGGGTGCCTCTGGATCCCGCGGCGGCGGCTGACGCCGAGGCACTGAGCCGGAGAACCAGCCGAAGAAAGAGAGCGAAGGTGTGGTCTCGAAGTCCTTTGTTTTGTGCCACAAAACGTGCTTTTTTTTCTGTCCTTGCATATTAAAGGGACATTATGTAACATTTTAGCACCAACATTAGAGAAATATTCGTGTGATTGTAATTTACTTCCACTTTTCAACATATAATTTCGTGCAAGTATCTCACATATCTGACATTTTTTAATGGTTACACTAAAGGAAAACAGCCCATGCTAGGTGCACTCAGTTTGTGGTGCCACCTCAAAATACCACAATGACACAAACATGACTGACAGCTGTAAGGCATGATATTTTGACTCCTCCACTCTGATAAGTGCCATTCAGGGAGAAAATGTCACTTGCAATGGAGTATGGTTCAAAAGTTTTCATTTCATGGTGTAGTAATAATAATAAATCCCAGTGCCACCAACTAACGCCACAGCAAATAAATTTTATGGATGACATCCTTCGCAGACTCCAAATGCAAGCGGGCGAAGAAAAAAAAACAAGGCGGGCAGAAAAAACAGGGTTCCTACATTTTAAAATTTTGACTCAATCATAGCACAAATGGTTTTGCTTCAGTGGGAACATAACATATACACAGCCAGCATCACATATCACTGCATCAGACTAAGACTGAAACAAAACATTAAATCAGAGCCTTTTCTTGTCTCCTCTCTTCATGGATATCTGCCATCCACCTTCCTGCATGGCAACAGACATCTTTGCCCATTTTCGTCATGTTGACTACTGTCAGAAGGCAACAAAATTTCTTGTTTTTTTTTTCCAAAATCAGGCAAAAAATTGATGTGCGCGCTGATGTCATTCATAAAAATCACTTGCTGTGGCCTAATGAGACATGATTATGGTGCAGATAAAAAGGTTTTGAGCCTTTACGACAATTCACTTCTCTGTTTCCCTCCTGTCTGGTGCAGGTTGAGTACAGGGAGATGGACGAGAAGTTAGCTAACCTGTCGGAAGACGAGTACTACTCTGAGGAAGAACGTAAGGAGAAGGAGTACAAGAAGATAGAAGACGCCGCGCCTGAACCTGAGGAAGACTCTGATCAGGATGAACAGACAGGTAGCGTTACCTTAAACAAAGGTAAAGGGTTCTCGCCAGAAATTTTTCAACTGCGTAGGGGTTAGGTGCAGCAGTCAACTTTCCATGGCACAAGCTGTGCATTGAGTTCCAAAGACATGGCCACAGTAGGGGTCTGCTATTAAAAAAATTAAAAAACTCATAACCCCCATGAGATACTATTCTAATTCTTAGTCCTCTTCTGAGCCAGCATGGCTCTTAAGGCAGAAGGTAGCTCTTCCATCTGGCCCGGTCCGCTGCCATCTTTGGTGCCTCATCGAGAATGAAACCATGGCTCCGCACTTCTTTGTCGATGGTTCTTCGCCATGTTTCCTTCGGTCGTCCTCTAGGTCTCCTGCCTGAGGCGTCCATCTTAGAGTTGTTCTGGTTATACTATGTGGTGGCATGCGGCATATGTGACCTAACCATCTCCATCGTCTTACTCTATTTATCAACATTTGGTCATGAGTACACCCTGGTACACCCTAAGGACCGACCTCACAAGGGTACCAAGGCGAATGTTATTTACAGACTCAAATGTGAGGAGCCCAATTGTAACAACACCTACATCGGAGAGACAAGTCGACCGCTTAAAGTAAGGTACAAAGAACATTGCCGACCTAGTGCCAACGGCTACTCCTCAGCTATTTTCCACCACCTACAACACAACCAGGGTCACTCTTTCAAACTCGAGTCCACGGATGTCTTAGACCGCGAAACACGCTGGTGGGAATGGGGTGTTAAAGAGGCAATATATGAAAGAATGTACAACCCCACCCTCAACAGGGAAGGGGGGCTACGGGTCGATCTTTCCGGCACTTGGGATTTGGCACTCCCAGCCCCGAGGACAGACAACACTTAAGCTCCTGTCCTGTATAACAGGAGCTTTCAGACTAATTTGCATCATCTTGTCTTGAATTGTCTGACTTTTGTTCCTTTTTCGACTTCCAAAAAATTTGTCTTCACTTTATTTGCATATCAATCAACAGGTTGTGTATATAAACCTGCTTTCCCCGCTGGTCTCTCAGTCACTGACGAAAGCTAGTGGATACTAGCTGAAACGTCTGACGTTTTCAAAATCATATCCAGTTGCTTGAGTAACTGTTTTTTGGCATAACAGTTACTGTTGTTTAATTTGAGAACCGCAGTCCCACCGTACGGACATTTTGTTCAGCATGGCCCAGGTTTTACAAA